CCCCCCCCGCATTAACACCATACACACACACACGCGCACACTCACACGGCACACACACATACACACACACACACACAAAAACAAACAAACACACACACACACAGACCACTCCATTCGCAATAATAAGTAAATAGGTCAATTTCTGAATGTTTTGCACTCAAATTGTTCTTTGCACCTGCACATTGGTACAAATTATCAAATATTTTTTATCAGGTTGTATCATTTCATACTAAACCAAGCTCATTTGAAAGATTTTGTATAGAAAAATAGAAGTCTTGTTTCCTGAAGTTATCCTTTCAAGCTCCTCAATTTTTTAGATAATTTCATTGGCCGAACATCTAGATCTAGACTACCAACTTTTGGCGAGTTTTGAACGTATGCCTCGGTTACAAACCAACGCAGGCGGTAAGAAGAAGGCCACAAACGCACACAAACTCAAGCAGACTGACGCACATACACCTGAGTTGAGCTACATGAATGCGGATCCGACTCGGGACCCGAATTCAAGGGGAGATGGTGCGCTGAGCCAAGGGCTAGATCTAGACTGACGCGGGACCAGAACGCAGGCGAGGTGCCGAAATAGGCTTATCGGGCAACATAAACCCAGCCCCCGCAGGACAAGGGTACGAATGGAATCTACAAGATCACCCCGGCCTTTACTCTACTCGTATCACACATGATCAGGCCAGAGTCAGAAAAAATTATCTATGATATTGAAGGGTGGTACAGAAAGATGATATTATTACTAGATTTAATTTTGGTAAGCTGTAATTTTCATTCCTGCATTGTAGAGTCGTAGTTCCACTTTTAGTTTAGAGCTACAGTCCTTCACAGTACAGTCACTATCTAAACCTGAAACAACAGCAGTAGGCAACACAGTCAGCAGTCAGTCACAAAACTAAAACTCTCGTGAATAACACTACTCACCAGACAGATCCGACTTCTGCAGAAAGGCCCCTGAAAGAGCATCAATGACTGTGACATGATCCTTTGATAACAAAATGACGGCATTTAATGACGAATTGTAAGTGATTTGAGAGGTACTGGCATCAACCGATAAACAACCATCTTCGCGGATATTCCACAGTTTCTCAGTGTCCGCCGCCATTACTACTCCAGTGACCATTCCAGTGACGTCACGTCTAAACTAAAAATTCAGAATTCCGATTTCAGCACTGTTTTTAAAAGAAATGTAGGGAAGCGTAAACTATCATTAAAGCAACTTAAAATTATTTCCATACACCAAACAATGTTCTTGATAAGACAGAAATAGGATTACAACATTTTGTTTCATCTAGGCTACGTTTATATAATAGATACGAGGAAATTTAATGACGTCACTTATTCATCAGAATATATACAAAATAGAATATAACGGGATTTAACGAATCAATTCTTATACTCTTCGTGGTGGACACTCTCTCTCTCTCTCTCTCTCTCTCTCTCTCTGTGTGTGTGTGTGTGTCTCTGTGTGTGTGTGTGTGTGTCTCTGTGTGTATGTGTGCGCGTGCGCACGTGTGTGTGTGTGTGTGTGTGTATCTATCTATCTGTCTATCTCTCTGTCTCTATTTCTATCTCTCAGTATTCCGCAGGGGTATCAAATTTAAGCCTGGGTGAGCTCGGACCCCATCAAGTAGGCCTAGGCTATTCCATACATGATATGAACAAAAAAGGTTTCAAATGTTAGGGGGGGGGGGT